CAAGCGAATGAAAGGGCTCTCTTAAAGCACAAAGAGGAAAGCAGTTTTGTACATATATTTCACGTGCAACGGAGCCCTTTAGTGGGCGCAACGGTGCCATCTCGTGCTGGAGCACTGTAGGTTTGAGGTGCTCCAGGAGATGGGGCCTCTTTCACAGACCAACTTAGCATCTTTCCAAGCAGAAGGTGTCTCCCGAGGGGCCGTACACCCTTCAGAGGGAGCCTGTGTCACTAACAGTGATGGAGCAGCCTGGTTTCCACGTACAGGCGTTAACCGAGCAGCTGCCCACGCGTCTCCCTGCGTTAGCGGGTCTCGGATCTTGCAGCTTCTCCTGCTTCCAGCGGGAACAGCAAGTTCCTGGGCACCTCCTAGAAGCAGCTCCCCAAGCACGTGCCTTCCTCAGGGCGGCCGTCCCCGCGGCGCTGGGATCACGGGCATTCCCGCCTCCGCTGCAGAGCTCCCGCTGCGTCCCGAGCGCTCACGGCTTCGTCTCCTCCCCGGCCCGCCTGTCCCCGCGCTTGTTTTCGTGCGGCTGCTAAATCATTCACTCCGTTATCTTCCTTTCTGTTTGCCTCTGAAAAGCTGATCTCCAGGCAGCTGGCTCCTACCACGGAGATGTAGTAACGCGGGGCAGAGACCTAAGAAGCAGCGGCCTGCGGACACGAAGAGCGGCCCACCCCGGCCCTCGGGTTGCTCAGTGAGGGCTTCCAAAGCGCAGGGGGGACGGGATCCCAGCCGGCAGCCGAGCAAAGCGGCTCTCCATTCCTAGGGAAGGAAAGCTGAGTCTTCCGAGGCTGGGAGCCGTTGGCACCTTCTCTAGTTTGAGACAAACTTCTCGCAAACCGGTTATTTTTATGATTATTGTTTTTAACCTGCAAAATGATACAGAGCAAAACACATTCACAGTTAAAATGTAGCATTGGGGTGAGGGAAAATCCTTCTTTCTGGAGAAGTCACGCAGCGCTGTCGGTCCGGCCAGGAGCTGGTAGGAGGGCTGGGCAGCGACGTGCGCATCTCTAACGGTACTTAAATTGCTTCGATTCTGGGTGAACAGCAGAGAACACCAAATTCTTGGCAATAACTTCCTGCAGGGTGAGGAGTTTTGCGAGGGGGAGGCTGCATCCTGGGTTTTTTTCAAAGCCGCTCCAAGCTTCTGTAGCCTATGGAAATAACTTAGGGAAAACAGTCTGCAAAGGCTCTTCCACCGCCGCGTGGTTATGGCCAGGCGTTCCTGATGGTACAAAGTTGGCTTTCCCTGCAGAGAGCTGCTGCATTGCAATACTTGACATTTCTATGGCAAGGACACAATTTTTTCTCCCACTTCTGCACTGAAGCCCTGGAGAGGACTCGGTTCTCCAGCCTCTTGTGCACGTGTCATATTTTTAAATGCAGTTATGCCCTGAAGAGGTATGTGGGGGGGGGTTACGTTTATTCATTTGTGATTTAGCACTTTTTTGATACTAGCTCATTATTTAATTAGTGCAACAGTTTGGGAAGATGAACAAATAAGGAGTGAAATTGTGGGCTTTACAATGAAACAGGCCATTGCTGTGGATAAATCCAATCAACCAAAGGATGGCTTGGCCGCAGTCAAAGTCCTCTATCCCCAAATGCCACCGTCGTGAAGGTGCTGTGTACTTATTTCTTTTGAATTGAATATTTAACAATAGTTTGAGCTGATGAACTGATGTTTTTCCGCAGTAGTGTTTCCCTTGAGGGAGAGATGCTAAAATGGGCAGGATTTTTAGTTCTTGGGATGCGCAAACGTAGCACGGCACGATGGCTGGGATCGCGACGGGCATCGAAATGGCTGGGGATGTGGTACCCGGCTGCTGCAGTACGATGAGATGCCCTAATAATTTCTGTTTAACTCCATTTGCTGCTGTATTTCAGGATTTCATTTAGTCTCTCTAGCCTGTAAGACTGAGAGCAGTGAACCATGATCCCAAGGGCATAGATCTGTACATGATTAAGAGGGGGAAGTGGAGATTTTTTTTTTAATTTGATGAATTTAAGAAACCTAACATTCCTTGTTATGCATATGTTGCAATTCATACTGGTGTAAGTGTAAATATTTGGTGTGTTGGCAACGAGCCTTTATGGAGAGATTGCAAATGGAACCTCTGCTTGGGAGGAGGGACGCCTTGCTTTTTCTGATGCCTCTTGATGCTTCTGAAGGTTGGCTTGGAGGCGACGTGGTGATGAAGACTCCAATCTTCAAGGGACTGCACGTGGTGACCCTGGTGGTCCTTTCCAGTCCTGTGTATAAATCTTATGGTTGTCTTTAGTGATCCAGCAGTTCTTTAGCCAAATATTCTCCTTCTCACTTCATAGGCAACTCAATTATTTTGGCAGTGGGTTTTTGTCAAGGTACTTGTGTGCTGGAGACTGATCCTGGACCATGCCCGTTCCTGACTTGCAGGAATTTGATACCTGTCCATTACACAGTGTTCAGGCCCTTCCTCCTTACAGGGTTTCATGGTATCTGGAGGAAAGTGCCCTAAATTTCTGGTGCTGAATATGACTTTGAATCAAAATACATTTGCGTTACTACCTGCTGTGAAAAGGTGACACTCTCCTGGGTTTTGTTCCCCTTTTCCAGAACAGATTGTGTTTTAGCAACTTCTATTTGTATGTGGCATGAGTCCAGGCTGGGATCTCAAGACAGATAAACTAAGATGCACAGTTGCTTGTCTTTTTTAAGTACGGGGGGGGATTTTTTTTTCTTTTTCTTTCAAATGAAAGCTGCTTTATACTTTTTGTATTTACAAAAAAAAATGTTGTTCTTAGCTGTTCAGCTGTCTTTGAACTTGCTTTGGGCTTTTTTTTGTCTTTCTTTTTAGAAAAAAAAAGGATGTAACTTGTGGGAGCAGGATAGGGCACCTTCTGCGAGGTGCCTCTCCTGAAAAGTCCAGACCTTCCTAGGGCTGCTGTGAGACACAGAGCAGATGCCAAATAGTTCCTGCAGTTCTGTGTAGAGCTGAAGTGGATTCAGTTGCTTTAATGCTCCTTGCATCCCACTTCGGAAATTCCTAGCAGCAGAATTCCTTCCCGGCTTGCTTGTGCTCGCATCATTTCCATGCAGATCTTTATTTTAGAGCAAGCACAGTGTTTGCAATGCTGTAGCGTTGCAAAAATAACCCTCCCTTTTAGACCTCCCTTTGGCATTATTTACTGCATTTTTCAAAAGGAAGTAAACATGCTGCTTTTTTGAAATGTAGATCTAGTGTGAACATTTTTCATACCCTTGGAAGAAAAACCTGAGATTCCCTATCAGGGCAGAGAACAGTCCAGTTCAGTTTGCAATGTTGACATTTTTGCTAATTGTGATGTATGGCAGTGGGACTGATTTGTAATACAAATGTTATTTAATCTGTCTGTATTTTGATACTTGAATTTTCTTTTATTTCCTGTATATACAATTGTTAATCTGTTCAAAATTGTCTGAATTTTAAACATCTTGTGGTACCAAACGTAACCAATCTGTGCAAGAACATAGACTGACCTCACTACAACAAGGCGAGATTGTAAATATTCCTGGGCTTCCAGCAGTCGTTTTGTTGTTTCCATAATTGTACAACTTAGAACAGACTGAATTAATAAACAACCTTAGACACGTCTTGCCCTGCTGTCACTGCGAGCGTCGCGCCGACGTCTCCGGCTCCTCCGCTCCACTTGGAGGCTCCTCTCGCGCTCCCGTCGCAGACGTGGCCGCTGCAGCGGGCGCAGGTAAGAGACGGGGGGGACAGCGGCTTCCCGGTGTCTCATTCGCCCCGTCCAGCCCCTTTGGCACTTTCCTCCTCGTTGTTGATCTGAGGAACAAGCAAACGTCAGTTCCTGCACGGCTTGTACAGAAAGGACCCGCTGCTCTGGCAGCAGCAAAATGGAAAACGCTGCTTCGCTGGGAGCAGTTTCTTTGGGAGCAGGATAAGGGGCTCACGTTGTTCCCAAGTCCCCAGGGGCAGGACATATGGGTAGAGCTGCTGCCAATTTAGGGGGGAAAAGTTGTTTTTGCAGCAAATCCTGTTAACCCTAGATACTGAATATGACACTTCTGAGATGTTGAAATTATTAATGAAATAAAATGCATCCAAGTATTCTGCTAAAGGTAGGTTTACTTGTAACATGACAGTCTGCAACTGCTTTGTACATATTTTCTAGGTGGTGGTGAGAAAAACCAGCTTTCACCCTCGCTAACTGCCTTCTGCAGAGATTGTACCCTTGAAGTGAAGTGTTTACTAGTGCTGCTCACTAAAAACACTTTTCTGCAGTAGGACAGCAACTAAATAATGTAACAGCTGTAAACTGGGGCAGACATAGAATATTTGCAGAGATTTTTGGCATACCAGAAAATGGGACTTGTTCCTTATGTAAAATAAGGCTAAGAAAGACAGATATTTAAATACAGGTTAAAGTTCAGATTTGTGTGTCAAGTAAAAGCAGGCTGATACAAAATACTAAATGCATCAAGGATTGCTAGATTTATACCATATGTGCCATTTCTGATAATTCAGTTAGGCTGTTTTTAAGCTAATGTTGAAATATATTGAGTAATTTTAATGATCTTAAATACCATCTGGCTTTATCAAATCCAAACAGGGTTCCCGGGCTGTGACTAACAGCGTTCAGCAAAGTAGGGTAAAGGCCCCCAATAGAATTAACACTTTAGATTAAAAAAAAAAAAAAAAAGGCAAGGGGGAGCCAAAACCTGCCTAAGCTGCAGCAGTTTTATGAGCTTAATATCCCTCTGCCCTCCTTGCCAGTGAGTTGAGTGGCATCAAAGAGCAGGTTTTGTGGTTACACAAAAGCCACCAGCTTTTTGCAGTTGAAAGGTTTATTCAGATATGTAAGTGCCAAGTGACGAGAGTCATTTCCTCGCAGCTCCGCCAGCCCAGCTGTGTTTACTTCCAGTTGCTTTTCACAAGCTAAAGCATGATTTGAGAAACTGCTGGAAAGGCTGTTCCGCTCCTGCCCTCCCGAGCGACACCGAGTGAAGATGATCACAGAGAGTCTGCTCCTGCGTCTGGCTCCGGCTCAAGCACTTTCCGGAGAATTTCCGAGTAGTAGGGTGCAAACACCTGCCTGTTGTGGTGGATCACACTGCCAAACCTGCGCCCAAGGGCCAGCAACTCTTCTTGAACGGCATCGAGGCCCTTTGGGAGGTCCTTGGGGGAGCTCTGGCCGTTAGGGGAAACGAAGAGGCTGAGGAATGAATGAATCCGCTGCTCTGGAGAGAGGAAGAGCAGAAAAACACACACTCGGCCTTGGCGAGGGCAGAGCGTGGTGAGACGAGGGCTCCCGTCACAGGCTGTCGGGGACAGGAACACCGTGAAGGCCCAGGGACCTGCTGTTGGGGAAAGAAACTTCCAGATCCTTCCACTAAGTAGATTTAACAGCATCCAGGAACCAGGGTGAAATTCCGGGATGCTAGGAGAGTACTCGAGCAGAGTATCATGTTTTGTTGTCTTGTTGCTACTTTTCTCAGGGTAGCTGCTGACAGCAAGGGCTGAGATTGGACTTCGGGTTTGATGGGTGCGTGGCCTTTCGTACGTTACAATGCAGCAATTCGGATTTTTCACTAATTCTGAAGAGTTTTGATACTGTGTTCAAGCATTGGACCTCCTTAAAAGCATAACGGAATATGGAATTTCAGAGCCTAGGATTTATTTAGGCTGCTACAGCAGCATTTTTTAATTGGAAGTGTTCAGGAAGGAACACGTAGCAGCGATACAGCAACATTTGAAGCAGCTGGTAGTTGAATTCGAAGTATCTATATGAAAATGCTGACGGTGACCAGCAGTGCAGACAAGGTGCTGTGGTATTCTCAGATGCAGGGCAGGGAGACTATCTAGTCCCAGCACTTCTTTTTGAAGCCACATCACCTAGTGCCCAGCCTGCCCTATCTCAGGGTTTAGTTTAGGCTGTAACTTCAGCTTTATAAATTCCATCAAAACAAAAATAGCCTGTTCTGACATTAAAAGAATAAACCCAACTAAACAAGGCCATGGAGTCCACGCTGCTGGGAAGGACACTTAACTAAATGAAATATTGAGCAGGTAGGGCCTCACCCTAATTTTATAGCTGCTAAAAGCAAGTCTTCCATGTGGAAATAATCCTGCCAGTAGCTGCCTGTGGCACAGCAATCTACGTGAAGTTAATGTGCAGAGTACTAATAAAAGGTCAAAATAATCAGCTCTTATCCAAACCATTTGAATAAATATTTTGATGGAGCAGCACTATAGGGCAGCTGCTTAGCTGAATACCAGGCAGTGCACTCCCTAGGGATAAATATTATTTGGAGTTCTTAGCATGGTACCTTACTAGGCCTAGTGATTAATCTCAGTCTACAGCCTAGCCTGAAGATTGCAACACTGCCTAATAACCAGCCTTGCACTGGGGCTTGTTTAGCTTTTAGCAAAGATGAGAGGATTTAAGAGACTTTCAAAGCAATTACTGCTGGGAAGCGTTTGGAGGAGTGGGAAAACGTGGGCAGTTTCTGCACCCGGTGTCATTGCCCTCCTCTCCTGTGCAGACTGGGTGGAGAGGCCAGTTTTGCTCAAGACGGGGAGTCTGCGATGCCAGGACCTGGCCTGGCTGCTCCAGAGTCATTAGGCTAAACCCAAGTCAGGGCCTGAGAGTGCAAATATTGACCTTGAAGGAAGCCTAAGTGAGCAGACAGGGGCTCGCAGACTCACCGACGACTCTCCGCACCGCGTTGTCCTTGTCCGCGAGGCTCCTTATCTGGCCCTTCAGGGAAGTGCATTTGTCTTTGCTGAAAGGGGGATAACCCAGCTGGGACAGGGTCCTGCCGACCTCCTGGAGCACCTGATCGCCGACGTCTTGCAAAGCCTCTTCACACCTGCGTCAGGCAAAGGTACAACGTGCTCCGGGCACCGCGCGCCGCGGGGAAGGGGCTTGCAGGGCCCCAGCAAGGAGGGAGGTTGATGGGAGCACCCTGGAGCCAGGCAGCGCAGGAACCAAGTGAACCAAGTTTCCCTCCCCCTGCTCAAGAAGCTGCCTGGGGCTGTGAAACAGGAACCAGCACCACCAATTCCCCCTATAGCCAGGAAGGGACTGTTGCTAGAAGGCTGGCTCCCTGCCTTGCCTGCTCCTGGCAGTAAACCTGGTTGCTATTTGGGTCTTGGATCCTTTTCCACTCCCTCCCCCTCCTTCCAGGGGAGGCTTCCTGCTGCTCATCCCACAACCAACCAGTGCCTGCATACTCACTCATCTCCCTCTGGAAAAGAAAACTTAAAATAACGCACCTGGTACAAGAGAGCCCTTCCAAGAGGACCTTTGTTACCCGTTTCAGCCTAGCTACAAACCCAGGTGAGCCAAACAAGGTGCTTCCACACATGCCACTGGTCACTAGCAGGACTGCAGCTATGAGGACAAGCTGATTCACCTGCGACCGGACTTGCTGCAGTCGGGCCTGGTCCATAAAGAGTGTCTGTGAACAGAAACCAAAGCAGCTGCTGCGGGTGCAGCCAGCAGCAGTTCACAAGCCACCGAGTGGGAGGAGAACGCCGGCCAACAGGTAGGGTTAGTTTTGTGAGAAGTCCCGAGTTGTTTCTCCCACCTCAGGATATTCCTTGTGGGCAGGCTCAGCCACGCCGCTGTGACATCCAGGCTACCTGCAACACAAGGGGATGCCTGGAAGCGACGCTGAGCGGGCACGACGTGGCTATGGATCCTGCGGGCAGCGTGTTCTGGAGGCCAAGGCATCGCGCTGGCTCCTGCAACGGCAGGGAGTAGCTTACAAGATCCCCAAAGTACAAAACAAACATGTAGCTGCCAAAGCACAGGGCTGGGCTAGTGGAATCAGCCTCCGGAGAGCTTTATGTTGAGCAAAGCGTTTCAGTCTCCAACAGGCACCTTTAATGAAGTCCTGGGAGGGAGAAAGGCAGCCAGAGAGAAATATTCTAGAGCCTAGTGAGGGAGAGATGTCTACATCAAATGCAAACTTTCCTCTTTAAACATGTCTGCTAATAACATTTTCCTCATTCCTCTAAGGATCTCAAAACGCTTTAAACTTACAAGATCTTACAGCTCCTTGTGGGATGGCTATTAGCTCTGCCTTATGCAGGGCGCAACTGAAGCACAATAAACAATTTCTTTTCTGCAAGGTATGTTAGCGAAGAGGCTGAGAAAGTGACCCAGGAGCCCTTTAATTTTCTGAGGTAATTCTCTCATCTATTATTACAAATAGGCATGGGAGAAAGTATCAGCTTTGAAATATTTGAGTCCCTTTCCAGTGTTTTTAGCAGCTCCTGTAAGAGTACAAAGTGTTGAACCAGCAACTTCTCTCACTTCCCTGCAGACTTACTAGGCAGCTTATCTAAGAGCTCCTGGAATTTCTTCCGCTCGTACTGGACGGAGTGCTCCTGCAAGTGGGGACGGAGGCTTTGGATGGTAAAATTCAACATATCCATCTTCATGAGGTCCAACACCCGGAAAATCTCCCTGGGATGAAACACAGTTCACTGAAACTTTATCTAGTAGTAAATGCTATGACTAGGGTAAATTTAAAACGTTGGGAAAGGGGAATTCAGAAAGAAGTTGGATTCTGTTTTCTGACAAAAGGTTGTTAGGTGTAGCTGGAGTATGCAGTCTCGAAAAACTACTAGAAAATCATGTTCATAAAAGGGGCCTCGGGCAGTAATGGCAGGGCAGAGTTTTCTCAAGGCCCAACGTGTTGGTGCTGGTTTACACAGACGCAGTCAGGGCCCTCGCCCACCTCAGCAGCTGCACGGGATCCGCGAGGCTCCGCAGCGCCCGCACGTCCTCGTCGCGCGCGGGCGCGCACAGCGCGGCCATGGTGTCCAGCACGCGCGCGGCGACGCTGCCCACGTCCAGGGCGCCGTGCTCGGCCTCCTGCCGGAGCAGCTCCAGGTCCAGAGCTTCCTCAATCTGCCTGCGCAGGCGGTCGTGCCGGGGCAGCAGCAGCGACAGCAGAGCCTGCCAAAAGAGAAGCAGCCTGATGGCGTTCAAGGGACTCTGCGGTTTTCCAGAGTTGCTCAAGAGGCATCAAACCTACTGCTCTGTTGAGCATAAGGTAACTACTGAGTACTCGAACTCTGGGGCATGCGACGGGTTGAAGTGGGTGCTTGTCTGCAGTGACTCATGTCAGGACGTCTGGCTCCTGCTTCACATATTGCAAAACCTCTTCTATCGTCACGCAAGAAAGGAGGGAACTGTCTGGAGTCCAAAGGGCAAGTGTGGACTGAAAAAGCAAACCCTACGCAGCTCCATGCTTTGCTAGGAATATGGATGTATTTTAGGGCCAGACAATTTTGTTCACTGTATTGTATGCTCGTTTATTAGAGTCAGCTCCTCATATACCCAAAAGTGGTGTCCTATATAGACGAAGTGTATTTTCTGTTTGGCAGACATGATGTCTGGAGTGGTTACCATAAATGACACTTTAAACAAAGTTTTTCCACTGTTTTGGAGAATATGTGTTTGAAAGACCTAGGGGCAGGGAATGAGTTTCCTTCTCAGACAGGTTTTAGAGGTGCAGTTTTGTATCTCCCTATAAAACAAAGGGCTCCCATTTTCTCGTCCCTCCTAACACATGTTCACAAGGGAATACTTGGATGCAAGAGGCGAAGGCACGATTGGCAGGAAGGCAGCCTCTCTTCTGGCTTGGGAAGGGCTCACCTCCTTTATCTCCTGCAGCAGCTGGATTGCCTGGGTGTAGTCCGGGGGGCTAGCAGAGAGCTGCTCCTTCAGCCTGTCCCAGAAGGCTCTGTGCAGTGCTTCCTTTACTCTGTTTTCCAGGCTAAAAAGAGAGTATTTTTCAAGCAAACTCCTATTTCCTTGTCACTTCAGCAGCCAGACCCAAGCCCCGCTCCTCTCCCCATCCCAACCTGCTCGCTGCACGGTGACAGAAAAGAGCCAGCCCCAAAATGCAGGTACCTGTTTGGGGCGAAGGTGACGGCTTGCAGTTTGAAGTCCTGGTTGAGCACCATTTCGTGGGCGATGGTCAGCTTGGAAATCTCGTGAGCTGTTTCCAGGACTTCACTCACGGAGAGCATTTGTGGAGGGCTGGCTGCAAAAACAAGCAATAAATAAGTAAACGAACAACCAAACATCAAAACAATGTAAAAGCAACGCTAAACCAAGCCGAAGGCTCAACGTTTCCTTTAAAGGGACTGAGAGGATTTTAGGTACTGAAAAGTGCAAAATAAACTGCAGAGGGTTTAAAACTCAAGGAAAATAAGGGGATATATATATATGTATACACACACACACACACACTCTTCTGTTGTTTTTACTATTCCCGTGCAGCGGAGCCGCTGCCTTTACCGGGCCGAACGGAGGAGGACGGGGGGATTCTCCTCCTCGGCGGGGCCCCGCGCCCGCCGTCCCTGAGGCAGGACTGACCCCTAGCGCCGGCGGGAAGCAGCT